CTCTGGTCTTGCCTTGAAACACCACAGCGGAAACTTTCCTATCGGTATCTATTTGGTAGGGAGGAGTGGGGGAACCCTTTGAGGCCAGAATTTTTTCGCTTTGCAAAAACAAAATGTAAGGATAAGCCTCGCATATACCACACTTGGTGGACTAAGTACGATCATTTTGGATTACTTAGATGGCCCAACAGTTGCGAACGACCCCTATCAAGTATTTTTTCTATATAAGACATATGCAGTGCTTTTAGACGGCCTGCTAGCTTTTTCACAGTAAAAAGTGGTCTATGAAATTTGGCATTTTTGCAACTATTGCGCATAAGATATATTAGGTTGTCCCGAAAGTTTCGTCGGTTTTTCAAACTACTATAAAACCACGCACAATAATCATCTGAATGAGTTTCAACAAGCATTCGATGCAGCCTTTCCTTCGCTTTCTTATGGATACATTCTCGAGCCACAATCTTGTATACTTTTTTCGATATTTGTTAAAATTCTCCATCCGCCAATTTTATCTGCTCAAAGTTCGGCCAATTCTTACAACTTTCATTCTATTGTTTTTAAAATGGTTAAGTATGGTCCTAATAGGGCAACTTTCGGGCTACAAGGATATATTTTTATATTCTCCTAATCTGCTGTTTTTAACTAGAAAAAAATTATTTCTTAAGAGGTCTCGATTTTTGGCAAACTCATGAAACACGCAACTGCAGCAAATACACATAAGTTTTCAAAGTTTCTACGAATTGAAAAATGATTCTTATCAAACATTATTTATGCAACATGACCAAGTTTGATTTGCTTTGAAAAAGCAGCTTTGGAATTTTCGGTACTTTTACGTGGTAAACGTAATCAAAAACTCGCGGTTTTTATTAAATAATTAATTATAACGAACTTGGTATCTGGCTCATGTAATCTAAAATGAACATAATGAAGCCAAAGGTTTGCTCTACATAACAGTTACCAGCGCCCTTTGAAAACATCAGGATAAAAAATTTTAAAATTCAGGAAAAATTTAGCGTTACTGCTGAGCTGCTCAAAAAGCCATGACGATAACATTGCAAAGACAGGGTAGATCAGAGAAAATATAGTAGTATGAAAGAGGATAAAAATCTGAATCAAATGGTACCTAGCTTGCCCATGGATTGGTGTTCTGTGAGTTTTAGTGAGCGATGAAAGAAACCGACAAAACTTTCGGGACAACCTAATATATTGATAACAGTCTTATAGACGTAATATTGTGTGCTTATTAATTCGACAGAAAAGCTGATAATGACCAAATTTCTCATAAAAGTATCACAGCATTTCTTCTTTCCGACTGCGCGCTAATAGAAGATCTGTATCTGTCTTTAGAGCTGTTTATAAAATGAGGGCCTTTCAGTCCGGAATTCCATGGATTTGCTTTGATCACTCTGAGAAAAGAATGTGCACTAATTACCACTCTCCAAGCTTTTTTTAAAATGTATCTTAGACTATAACGCACGCTGATCTTCTCATCTGACAGATCTTCTTATCTATTTCATTACAATGCTTTTATCAGCGCGAACTCTCACTTAAATGCGGCCTTGTTGTAAGATTTCACTGCTGACCGACTGATCTAAAACTAATGTACGAAATTGTGTAATGTTAGATGGATTTGACCCAGAGAAATCACTATAAAAGGAGCCGCTGTCCGAACTCTACAGCGCAATGATCCACGACGAGAAGCACTGGGAAGCCAAGGCCCACGCCCTCAAGAGGATCGCCTTCCTCGGGGTTACCCTCTCCACCGTCGCTACTCTGATCTGTATCATCTCGGTGCCGATGCTGTATAACTACATGCAGCACGTGCACTCACTCATGCGGAACGAAGTCGACTTCTGCAAGTTGCGCTCGGGTAACATCTTGAGGGAAGTTACCCGCACCCAGGCAAGTTCGCTGAATTCCTGTCTAAATAGCCTCCATTTATAAATTTCTCATTCAAGGTCCTGTCGAAAGAGGTCACCAGAACCCGCCGTCAAGCTGGGGGATGCTGCGGATGCGGTGTTTCTGCCAGAGGACCACCAGGACCACCAGGACAAGCTGGACAGCCCGGAGGAGATGGAAGGCCTGGTCAGCCAGGAAGAAATGGTCCTGACGGGCCACCAGCAACTCCTGCTCCACAAGTCAACCCATGCTTCAACTGCCCCGCTGGACCTCCAGGACGCCCAGGAAACGCAGGAAGTCGTGGTGCGCCGGGAAACAAAGGTCCAGACGGACGCCCTGGAGGAGCAGGAAGTCCTGGAGGCCGAGGAGCTCCTGGACCACAAGGTCCTCCCGGAAACGCTGGGCGGCCAGGAAATCGAGGCGCACCTGGAACACCTGGACGAGTCATCCCATCAGCAGGTAACCGTGGACCTCCTGGACCTCCCGGACCTCCAGGACCACCTGGACCAAGTGGAAACCCTGGAGGCAGAGGAAACCCAGGAAGCCCTGGCGGACGAGGACCTCCTGGAGACAATGGAAGAGCTGGAGCTCCTGGACGACCTGGAGCACCTGGACAGAGAGGACAAGACGGAAACACTGGTGCCAGGGGAAGCTGCGACCACTGCCCTCCTCCTCGTACTGCACCAGGATATTGATAGCGTTGTAATAATAATATTAATTAACAAGATAATTAATAACGTTATGACGCTGCGAGCTTCGAATAAAGTTTTACAATTGACCTCCTCTGCATGCCCACTCCTACATTTTAGCACACAATATCACCTTGGCAGCTAATCTGATCTTTCTAATTGCCTATGGAAGACTTTGGGCAGAGTCTGCATAACAATAACATGAATGATCATGGAGCGAAAGAATCTTGCAGTTTCTCTGCCATTGGTCTTTCAATTTTTTGCTTTTTGCGCAAAAACCCTGGACAAGGTATGCTCTCGAACCTATTCTATATTAGTGGTGTGAATAAGCAAATCCTATGTCAAAGTGCAAATGAGCGGGAAGCGTTTGAGAAGAATGCTTAAGAGTAGGAGAGAAGATGCGAACTTCGAGGAGATAGTCAGGTTCAAAAGGGCGCTGAAGCAACATTTCATCGCTTATCGGAAACTCTAATCAAAGAATAAAAGGATAAAGGATACGGCTTCTTTAATGCCCTTAGCGGGCACGCGCCGAACGCACTCTACCTCATAGTCGAAGATACTACCGAATCTGTGCGAGCCTTTTACAGTAACTCGCGGGGTCCAGCCGTCAGTGCTTTTATCCGCCCACATTACTCCGGTACCAATTTACCGGCTCAGGAGGGTAGAGGGCTTGGTTGGTCCACGGGCGGGACAAATCTTGGTCCGACCTGGTCAGAGCCTCATACCACTACGCCACTCATCCCCATGAATATCTAGGGCTGTTGCAAAGCGAAGAAGAAGTGGTTCGAAACTGATTCAGAAATGCCTTGAAAATTTTAGGATGTAGAGAAAGTTACGCTGAAAGAAGACAACAAATATGCGAGGAGAAGAGATTACAACTTTGCTTTGTTTTTTGTAGGCCACTTCAGGTGTGTGGTACGAGGCGACTCAACTTAAAGAAATTTGTCACGACCTTAATTCACATAGCTTTTTCGTATTTCACACATGATTAACTCCCCAATGCGCATAAGCACACCAAATTTGGTGGCATTGTTGCGTGTTCGTTGTAATTAGGCCCCGTATGAATATGCTACAAGTGGTATATTGCACATTGAATGTTTCTTTAGAGTCTGTGTTGGTGCGCAAGAGCGAATTAACTGTTAGGTTGGTTCTCTTTTTCACCAGTGCAAGGTATGGTTGGTGATCTTTTTATGCTCTGAAAGGCACGCGCCATACACTTGATCCACTTGTCCGCTCAAGGCGCTTTATTTACTTCGCTATTGGTCAAATCAGTGAACTGACCAATAGCAAGGCGGATGTCCGCTATCCACTTCCGCTTCATCCATTTCGTAGTGGTCAGTTCGATCTAGCCAATAGCGAAGCGGATGAAATGGATCAAGCGGATAACTATAAATTAATGAAAATTTCATGGTTGCCTTACTTTCCGGCAACGCCGTCTCTAAAGCCTCGAAGGTAATCCAACTCAGATCAAATGCACTGGGCCACCGAATGCTCACTTTACTTCATCCAACCTGTCTACCGTATCAAATTTCAACTTGATATCTACATACCAGTTTTCTAAGACAGCATAACATAACCTTTGATTCAACTGACTTGGCTTCAAGAGGGTGGGGCTTTGTGACGTAATTAAGGCCGCTCGCGTTCGCAACGCACCTGCGTCTCTCTCGCGCGAGTGCTGTCTGATCATACATAGTCTTAGTTAGGTCACGAGACCCCGCCTTCCCGAGGCGAAGCCAGTTGAATCAAATGGTAACCTTGCAGTAGACTGTATGATAAAACTTGCACTCAAGACTGTGCGTTTGAATGGAAGCTCACAAGACTGTTTTGACACGCATGAGTCATCATAGCGCCCGTACACGGCGGCCGCGTTGCAGGCACGCTTGCTTGCGTTCAGCCTACAGTGACCCGGGCAATTTCGAGCAGTCGACTTCACCAGTACTTTGGTATTGTACAAGTCGCGCTCGTAACGATTTAGCCGCGTATCGTGTGCTCCTCAGCGTCGCAAGTCCGTGCGGTTGAGATGAATTGAAGTTGTACGAATAAATATTTGGCCAGTAAAAAACGGTAGAGTCTCGTATGTCTATCGTCGAAACAATGAGTTGAGATTATAATGTAGGATTTGAAGTAGTGTATAGCGCCAGCAATCGAAGAACAATTTTTGCATAGGTTTCTTCCTCCAACATAAGCGCTAAATGTAGCGCATTCTTGCTCGCAACCCCATCATCGACACCAAGAACGAGAATTCATCTATTCTAATGCAGCACACTGCAGTGCATATGCGGTATTGAAAAGTTGGCTTGCTATCAAACATGAAAGATGATATGTAACTCAGTATGCAGTGCAAATAGCATGCCATTGCTTGCAGCGTTATAAAATTTATTAATCATATTATCATCTGTTATCACAAGGTTATCAATAGCCTGGTGCAGTACGAGGTGGCGGGCAGTGGTCGCAGCTTCCCCTGGCACCAGTGTTTCCGTCTTGTCCTCTCTGTCCAGGTGCGCCAGGTCGTCCGGGAGCTCCAGCTCTTCCATTGTCTCCAGGAGGGCCACGCCCACCAGGCGTTCCTGGGTTTCCTCGGCCTCCAGGATTACCGTTTCTTCCAGGTGGTCCTGCTGGTCCAGGGGGTCCGGGAGGTCCTCGGTTACCTGCTGATGGGATGACTCGTCCGGGTGTTCCAGGTGAGCCTCGGTTTCCTGGTCGTCCAGCGTTTCCGGGAGGACCTTGTGGTCCAGGAGCTCCTCGGCCTCCAGGACTTCCTGGTCCTCCAGGACGTCCATCTGATCCTCTGTTTCCTGGCGCACCACGGCGTCCTGCGTTTCCTGGGCGTCCTGGAGGTCCAGCGGGACAATTGAAGCATGGGTTGACTTGTGGAGCCGGAGTTGCCGGTGGTCCGTCAGGGCCGTTTCTTCCTGGCTGGCCAGGTCGTCCATCCCCTCCGGGCTGTCCAGCTTGTCCTGGTGGTCCTGGTGCTCCTCTGGCGGAAACACCGCATCCGCAGCATCCCCTAGCTTGACGGCGGGTTCTGGTGACCTCCTTCGATAGCACCTCAAATGAGGAAGGTTTAAAAATAGGGCCTATCAAGAACGGAATTCAGCGAACTTGCCTGAGTGCGGGTAACTTCCCTCAAGATGTTACCCGAGCGCAACTTGCAGAAGTCGACTTCGTTCCGCATGAGTGAGTGCACATGCTGCATGTAGTTATACAGCATCGGCACCGAGATGATACAGATCAGAGTAGCGACGGTTGAGAGGGTAACCCCGAGGAAGGCGATCTTCTTGAGGGAGCGAGCCTTCGCCTCCCAATGCTTCTCGTCGTGATCGTAGCTCATTGCGCTGTGGATTTCGGGTAGTGTATCCTTTTATACTAGTTCTTTGGGTCAAATCCCTAACATTACTCATTATTGGAGATCAGCTTTGGAAAAGTCGGTCAGCAGTAAATCTTACAACAACGCCGCGTCAAAATGAGAGCTGTAACACGCTTTGTAATGATAACGCGATTGTAATGAAAAGGATAACACATTGAAAGGATCAGTGTAAACAGACTATATCCTAAAATTTTCTAATCAACTCGTACTATTACTTAAAACTTAATTATCTTTGTTGCAATTGCTTCTTTGAGAGAAGGTATGGAAAACAAAACCCTGCCTTCAGCGAAGAGGCTTTGCCCATACCCCACATGGTACTGAGTACTGACACGGGCGTTCCCTAAAGCCATGTGCTTCTGCGTAGGTATTCATAGCTTGCACTTAATTTTGTACAGTTTTCTCGTTCTTTCATTTGAGTTGGGAAGATGAGGTAGGAAAAGACTAACTTTTGCATACACCAGGTTCTCATAACCCTATGTTTCCCAATTTCACCTGCTCATTCAAGGCTGCCTCCAACGTGTTAATACTAGAGCGGTGTCAGCGACGTGCCAGAACGTGCGAGGCGCCAGTGGGTTCCGGCACAGCGCTAGCACGGCAGTGGGACGGCACTGGCACAGACAGCAACGGAGAAGCGAAACGCTGCCTAACTAATCCAATTCCATACGTCACTACGTCCTCGCCTGTACTTTGCTGTATTTTGTGTCTTATGTCTTTGTATTTTCTCTATCCTTTTTTGATCAACATTTTCGAAACAAGAGAATTGCCTTCTCAAAAAAATAATACAAATACTAAATTCAAATTTAAGTTGATCAAGATCGAAACGCACCTATTGACAAATTGCATACTTGTACGTCATAAGGAAACGAGTCGATCCGTAGCGGACAAGGATGAGTGACCTAAAATTACCAAGTTTTATGAAAATAACTAGAAAATAATATAAAATATTCAAAATTTGAGAGCCTTTTGGATCTTTAGCGTTATACCGAATAAATCGGAGATGGAAATTTTGAACTTTATACGTACAACTGCAGGATTGGATATCCGGACTGTACCATCATAACGAATATCGGCCATCCTTTCCTCGGCCTCTAGCACTTCCTCGAGTTTCATTCTAAAATGTCAAATATTTCTAGCAGTCGTGAGCTGAATCGAAGACTTCTACTATGAAAATATTTATTTGGGCAAATACATATATCAAACATATTTCATTTTTAACGTGTTTTTTGAAAAGTTGAGGAAATCTGCGTGTCCCAGATTTCCTACACCATTTCGGGATAAATTATTATCGCTGAAATGGAGTAAATCATCTATTCTTTTTGATCTAATCTTTCCTATGAATTATATTTGAGCAACTTGCCCGGAGCATTTCGAAACCGTCATTTACACCAAAATTATTTTTAGCCAACTATTTTCTTGCCTAGATTGACAAGTATGCAAAGAATAAGGCGTTCTTTGCAGTAACACATCTCAATATTTCGACAAGGTTAAATTCATTTGCACTTATTTGATTTAGTATACTGTTGGTTTGCCATAAAGAATCCATAGAACAAATTGGTTCTATTGCCAAGCTGAATCTTCAGTCCTGGCGCAGCGCCAGAAGTCTCAAGCTCACAGTGTACCCACACATCAATTACGCTGGACGAGTGCGGTTCAGGTAGAAGTGTACCTAGGTACCTATCTGGGTGAGATTTGGAAATGATATGCAAGCATGTAGACCTCTTTCGTAATCTTACAGAAAGCCGGCGTTGCGGCGAATTATTAGCCCGAAAGTAAACTTCATTTTCAAATAAATTGAGCAGTTTTTGTTTTCCTGATAGACTTAGGCTTCCATTCGATAGAGCGAAGCAAGCCCTACAGAAAGACCACCAAAGGTTTTCACCGAAATCGTAATCCTGCCAATACTCAAAATTTTTCAGCTACCTCATAAATCGGATCTCCTTCCAGAAAATTGTTACGGACCTCCAACTTGGACTTTATATAATAGATAATAGTAGTGCCCAACATTGTATTTGGCGGATTTTGGGGCTCAGCAAGATTGAGAAAAAAAAGCTGAATACCAACATGCCACTTTCTTCAGGTTTTCCATATAAAACTTGGTATTCCTCGATCATAGGAGCACATGCAGGTGTATAATTTCAAGGTTATACTAAGCAAGGCTTGTATCATACAATGACACGTTTGGGAAGGACTGGGGCGAAGTTTACCATTTTTGGACTATCTTATTTCTCGCTTTCTATGCTCGAAAAAGTTCAGTAAAGGCATATTTGAGTACTATTATGTGCCTACTGTATAATGACCAAGTTGAAAGTCCAAAGAATTCTTGCTCGCGAAATCCAAGTTTTACGTGACAAAATTTTTTCGATTTTGGCTTCAAACTTTTCATAGAATGCAATTTAGGCAGACCTTTAGTGGTTGTATTTTAGGCCCGTATGCACGTACATCCCCGCCGGGAAGGGAGGGGATCTGAGAGGGGAAGCGTCATATCTCGCTTAGCTATGTATCTTTCTTCTTCTTTCTCTGTCTTGGTTTTGAAGGTTCTCATACACTGATACTTGCGCATAACGGATGCCAGGTTACTGCCATACAAGATTAGATATTCACTATTTCGTCTGATCCCCTGGGGTCCCCAGGGATTATCGAAAAAATCAAAATCTTCAGATTCAATTTCTTCTGTCGAAAACATGCTCAGCAATATCGTAGTATATCTTCAGTACAATTTTGCAGCGTTTTCAATCATTTTTTCGGAAGATAAACGACTTTGAAAATGTGAGATGATCCCCTGGGGATCCCCAGGGGATCGGAAGAAATAGTGAATATATAATCTTGTATAGCAGTAACCTGGCATCTATTATGCGCAGGTATAAGGGTATGAGAACCCTCATAAGCACGAAGAGAAGAAAGAAGAAAGATATCTAGAGCAGTGAGATATGGCGCTTCCCCGCTCAGATCCCCTCCCCTCCCCGCGGGGATGTACGTGCATACGGGTCTTAGAGCTTCATCTGCTCTATTGAATGTTACCCCAAGTCTACGGGAAAAACAAAAACGCTTGAATTATTTGAAAAAGGAGTTTACTTTTAGGAAACCTAATACTTAGGCGGAACTAGACTAGTACACTTTCCATCACTTACGTATCGTACCCTGGCAAAAACGATAGCATGATCTATTTGGGTCTGCGAAAGTACACAAAAACCACTACTTTATGTTAGTCCGGGACATGTCGAGTCCAATGAAACAATTCGAAGCAAGGCCGAAACTTTTTGCTAATGTCAAAAATTTGATTTTATAAACGCATATTGTTGAACCCTGCTTTTGCTTGGATTCTTAATTTTTCTGCTTTTAGAAATAAACACCGATTGCAGCGATGAGGTGAAAATTCAAGATGCGATTGTTGTTGTTCAATATAATGAGACCACCTACGCTTCGGTGAATATGATATCCGGAGTCCAAACACTCATTTCAGGAGTTTTGATCCATGCTTCACTATAGATTGTAGTATTTCTTTCCCAAGCCAATTGTGGATCTACCCATGACTGTAAATGCATTAGGAGATTATAGCAAACTTGTAATAGTCGAATTTTTATGTACGCACCAGGATGAATTCTGCCAGAAACTGTATTGTTTCCTGCTGCTGATCCTAGGAAATCAACGCAATATTATAGCAAGTCATTATCAAAAAATAAAATTTACCATATATAGAAGCACTAGCTGGTTAGGAATAATGGTAACGACAGTGGCGGTATCATTTGAGCCTGGGCGTTCTGATATTTCATAAGTAGGAAAGAGCTCATTCAGGAGCAGCCTGGCTGGAGTTAGCGTGAAATCTGGAATGAACCAAAAATTTTTTCGCCCTTTCTCAACTTCCTAGATAATTGACAAAACCTAACATTGCTCTCAAGAAATACTTGTATCAGCGCTCGTTACAAATAAGAGCAAGTTATACCTATGTCTCCTTTTGCGCTATTTGTCTCAACAAATATCTGTTATAGGCTCTATAAAAACTCGAATCCTTTGTCAAATAAAATATTGCATGGCGCTCAGTTACGCGGTTGAAAGACATCCACAAAAGCCAATTTTAGCTAAAATGACGCTTTCTTGTCCATCTCCGCTATAAGCAACGATCTTTGAGACATCAGGTTGGAATGAAAGTTCTGTCGCATTGTATTCAAAAATTCATAGCTTTTGGTTGCGCAACGGATGTGCCTGTTTTTGACTTTATTTGGGAGAGAAATTTATCTGCTTTATAAATGCAGGTAGTACTTCTCCTGATATATATACCTCCGCATAGATGCGATAGAAGAAAGTTACTTAATTTATGATTTTCCTGTGTTACTCATAAAATATGTGAACATTTCAACAACTGGAACAGTCTAAGTTTTTTTACCTGCTTCTTCTAACCAAACAAAGTCTATGCTGATTAGATGTCTCTACAAAAGGGTAGATTTTCGAGCAAGCAATGCAATAACGCATGATTCTCTGGCATTTTCATTTTTTCGAAAATCATAGCTTTTCTCAAGAACATCTAATCAGCGCAGACTTTGTTTATTTGAAGGCAGGTCAAGATACATATAAAACTGTTGCTCTTTTACTGAAGTTTCAGATTTTTTATGAACTAACGCAGGAAGATTCGTGACTTCTTCTTCCAAATGAAATCAGAGCATGCACACTCCTCGAGAATTATGAAGGTATGAATTTTGTTATTTTGCGACAGAACTTTCGTTCCAATCTAACATATCGGTTGAACATTTGAACGCCCTACTGTCTCTTATGTGACTCCAGCGCAGATGGATTACAAAAGGTCATCTACAAGCGAGTTGAGAACTTGATTTGGAATACTGATGAAAAATTTTGCCATCGAACACTTCTGCCAAACAAGGCAGCAAACATAAGATTTAAAATTGGCTTAACTATAGGTATAATAGAGAAGCTAACGAAAGAGGGAAAAGAAGATATAAACAGGGATGAATTTGATTATCTTGGGCGCCACGTTAAAGGAGAAACTACATTTTTCTATTATATCCCAAAAAATCAGGACGTTAAGACGAATACACAATTTTTTTCCATAAATTCTACGTTTTGGAAACGATTTCAGTGCTTCTGAATCTATATTTGTCCTTTCTTGGACATCAGCTTTCATCCTAGTAATCAAAACTATAAGAAGTTCGAGCGGTTTCTTCAGAGCTGAAACTTCTCTCACTTACTATTTTGGGCAAGCAAACGCATTTTCCTACAATTGAAATCATGTGAGTACACTTTTTACTTTCTGGCACGACTAAGAAACTGAAGGCCAAATGATCGTTTCACTAGCGAAAAAAAAATTTGAGTTCAAGTACAACGAGTTTTTTTTTCTGTAATAAAAAAGGAGTGGGTCAGAAAAAAATGTGTGCATATCCCATAGCAGGACGAAACAGCGATCGTCAAAATTAGAAGTGGAAGGTTCAAAAATGAATTTTTGCTGCAGATGTACTAGAAAAATTGTTTTTGGAAAGTTACTGCGAAAATATTGCTCACATTTGTTTGGGCGAGAGCAGAGCATTTTTTTAGATATGAATCTTTGCAAACACTTAATTATCTAGCTAGAAATAATTTGAATTTATGCTGATATATCAGAGACCAGGTTCAATTTATCCTTGGCTCTAGTCAGTTTGTTTGCGGATACAAAGTAGACTACTCCCAACCAGGGCTCGGCATGATTTGGCTAGTTGAAAATGCAAAAAACGAAGTCCCCCTTGACTTCTGCGAATTTTTACGAAGTCCCCTGACACTAGACCATAATCCCCTAAGAAGCTTCAAAAAACGAAACGTCAACCAAAAAAGTTCAAGTTTTCTGTCTCTTCAGCCACAAAAACGATATCCCGTTTGCTTTTTGTCCCAAAAACGCTACCCTGCTTGCTTACAAGCCACCTGTGCCGACCTCTGCTCCCAGCCATATCAACAAAAAATAAAGAGAGTTATGATTCGTCAATTTCTCACTTATCAGTTCATGCATGGTTCTTCCGCTCTCTTAGTACAGATATTCATGCGCTCTGCGATGTTCGGTGTTTTTAACAATTATCTGCATTAACGCCTATGGAGAATTGCAATAAGTCAAATTAAGACTATTCTAGCGATCAACAACCAAACATTACTAGTAAGTATGAGTTGCTGAAAATAACGATTTTTCTACAAAAATTCCGAAATAAAAAGTTCTAGTTTGAGAATCATACCAATTGTCGTCGCCTGAGTATTGGAAGAACTAAAAACCGAAGTCCAAAAATTTCTAGCCGTTGACGATAAAATTTGAGAAACTTTAAATACTATCACTGAACAAGGCCGCGCCAGTCTAAACGCTTCTGAGACAAATATACATGGCTGAATCTGTGAAGTTCGAAAAATTTGTTATTTTAATTTTGGAAGAAAGATAATAATAATATGCTTCATTTGACCATGCATAGGCAACCTTAGGATTCTCAAGTCATACACAGATCAACTTACATTTCCAAGTGGCACATGTCGGGTGTTAGCCATAAGGCTTAATAACATAAGGGGCTCAGCGGCGCGATATTCCTCAGCCGCATGCAAAAAAGAATCGAAATGCATAAATAACATACCGTATGTAAAGGTGAGGAGGAACAGAGGCCAAAGCATGACACCTGCTTGCATGAGTTATCGTATCCTCTTTGGATTCGGTTACGCGCGATATTCCCATAGACCACGCGCCCTCATTTGTAATGCCCTGAAACTTGACGCCTGTTCAAGAACTGAACTTCAGAAAGCATAACGAAATCAACAAATAATCCCATATGTGGGGCTTACGGCGGCAAAGTCATTCAGATACGTCATTCGTTTATCGTCTACAATCATTTAATTACCCCTCTTTGTTCAATCCTTAATTTCAATAAATGCAGGCTTTATCACGGGGGTGTCACATAGGCAAGATGGGCATCATTTTTGGGGAGGGGGAAGGGGAGGGGAGTAATAAAGAGAATTTCGAAAGGAAACGGGGGAAGAGGGCCGGAATGTTCGCATCTATTCGTCCAGTATCGTAAAAATACCGAAATTGCTAGATTGGAGCGAAAGCTCTTGCGTGATTTGAACGAACAATTAGTATTCGAACAAAATTCCATATCTTTGAATCTAATTTCGCCATTTTGTTTCCCAAAAATAATATGTAGAAGGCATGCGCGCTGCGTTGGATGTGTGAGTATAATTCTTTACAATAAAATCACTGATCGTGAGAACCAACTATTTTGATTATTGTAATTTCGAGTTTGGACCTATCTTCATGTACTCTCCGCAATTTTTTGTACCAAACTCGAAATTGCAATAATCAAAGAGTTGCAAAAGATGAAAAATGTCATCTTCAGGAATATCCTATCATCACTGGACTTTATCAGCAGAAAAAAGAAACATTTCACAAATAGTAAAATGTCACAGCGTTCTAGGCAAACAGTAAGTCAAATTCGTGTGGATTTGAGAGATTGCTATCACGAAGATTTTTTTTGCGAAACGAGCATACAAATTTTTGTGCTTGCATTACCAAGCGAGATTGACACCCACCACTTTGTATGAAATACTGTTACAGTCGAGTAGATTTTCCGCTTGATATAGTGTGCTTGCACAGAAGGTGAGATGCGGTGAAATTTGCGCGTGAACAAGTAGCCACGACAGCGTTGCGGGTATCTTGCGCGCAATGGGGCGGCGTCACAGTCGAAGCTATTTCTTCACGCACAAATTTTACCGCATTTCACTTTCTGTGCAAGCACACTATATTAAGTGGGAAATCTACTCGACTGTATGCGTAGGATTTTTGTAGACCTTTTGGGGTAGCTGATAGTCTTCGCAAACTTGCTGGCGCTAGACTGATATCCGCAAAGTTTGAAGCGTCACTCTTGTCTTCGTTCTTGGCGGCTAGCCTATAAGAAGTTGCGCTGCGCTTGAAATCTATCATGGACCCAAGTCCTCCACTATATTTGGGAAACAAAATGGTGAGTTTAGGTTTGCAAGTTGAATTTCGTTACAAAAATACCTCTGATCTAACGTGATATGAAAATGTTTGGGTCAAAAACTTGTGTGACTGAAAGCTTAACAATTTTTCAAAAGTTACCCACACTAACTGATACGGAAGCGATCCTTGCAGACCTAAAGACATGAAGGCGTGGTAATTTCTTCCAACTCGAATGCCTTGCGGCATCTAGTGACTAACCTAAAATGGCTCGAGGAAGGATATTTAAAATTTTCAACTTTCTTTAGGCTTTTTCGTCTTTTTCAATGCACCATTGACATCTTAAGGTCAAATTAACCCTTGAACCGCCTCATGCTCCGTCCTCTCCCCTCAGTTGCAGCCCCCGATGTTGGCGCAAACCTGCTGCAAGCGATTGGCAGTGACCGCCATTAACGATATTCCGCCAGAGATAAGAAAACGATCGTTTCTTCCAGCAAGTGTTAGTTTCTTGTGGCTATCGAATGGCGAAGGCGCAATAGCAGTATTAGTTGAGCGGGCGCGAACGGCGCGCGCGTTCCTCACGGTTGTAAAGCCTGCGCCTCCTGCGCTCTGCGGCTAATAAAGCGGCGTTCACGCCTGGAGATTTTAGGTTGGCTCGAAAGTTCTGGGACATTTTAGAGTAGACTGCTATTTCTCGAAACCTAACGCATATACATCGGTTAGATATACCATTCGATAGAACAAAGCAAGCTCTACGAGATGGTATGCAAAAGTTCGCACTAGCTTCGACCCACCGTAAGTTTGCGTCCAGAATCTGAATCATACTGAAGGCTCGAAAATTGGGAAAAATTCATATCTTCATTCAAAGGAATCCTACAGATCTCCAACTTGCTCATATTGCGCACCCATCAGACACTCATATGTACCGTTTGCTATATTTTTTCCTCATTTAGGAATAGAGGAAACGAAAATTTTCTTGTTTATACAAAAATGAAGCTATGCTCCCACTCATGTAATTGTATAGTACAAGCCCTTAGAAGTATAACTGTAAATTTTCAGCTTTCTACAGGCCCTAGTTCCCGAAAATTACCAAATTGAGCTCTCCTCACTCGGGCGTTCTATGCTAAAATCAATATCGTGGGTGGAAACAGCACAGCTTCGTTTCTATACAAGCATGGAAATTTTCGTTTTCTCGACTTTCAGATGAGGAGAAAATACAGGAACGGTGCATATGAGTGTCTGGTGGTGTGCAATTTTTGTGAGCAAGTCGGAGATCCGTAGGATTTGTTTGGACGAAGACATGAATTTTTCGCAATTTTTTGAATTTCAGTTCGACTCAGATTTCGCAAACTTACGGTGGGTCGAAGCTGGTGCGAACTTTTGCACACCGTCTTGTAGAGCTTGTTTGCTCTATCGAATGGTATATCTAATTGATGTATATGCGTTAGATTTCGAGAAATAGCAGTCTAGTCCTAAAATGTCCCAGAACTTTCGAGCCAACCTAATATTACGCCTTCGTCATGCAGCAGTCTATACTTTGTTTACTTCTACTTGTGTTTCCTCTGCTGGTGTCATTATACTAATATCCTGTCTTTTCGCGAAGGGGAAAATTTGCTTCAAAAATTCTGATGCCCCTTCTGCCGAGCCCTGGCTAAACGCTATAATAGCATTTTGAGCTTCAGCTATACATTACCACGCTATCAAGTTATTAGCGTTATCAGTTATCAGTGTGACCATGAACAGTGTGTTATTCGTATTAGCAAGCTTACTGTTGCCACCTATGTTACCTGCGTTTCCGCTGTTAAAGGCTTGAAAGTCTCATTTCCTAGTTCACGCTCTCGTAAATTATCAAATGAATTTTTTTCATGGTGCATCAAGAAGACAGCAAACGCAAACGTATAGTCCAATTGGCGTGATCGCGAACGGAAAAAGAACAGCAGAGCCTCATTCAAAGCGGAACAGCGGTAAAAATATTAGTAACGATTAAAATGAACGAAACCTAGTCACAGTGATAACACCAGTAACATTGGTATAGTCGTTCTTACCCTATTAGTAGGTTTATGGTCGAATTTGAATTCGAGCTGAAGCAGGCCGGCCGCGAGAGAGCGCGGCCCTCTCAGCCAACCGCTTGCACATGAGCTTTTCTCCTATTTTCTTTGTGTTTCTTCGGTATCTCTCGTATTGCGGCAATGTTCTTAATCAGATTTTCAGATTTCATACCGCTAACTATTGTTTTGTGCAGTTGTGCTCGTTTGTTTTACATTTTTTCCAGGTTAACCGGGAAGAAGGATGCTGTTGGAGATTTTTGGATGAGAAATCTCATATCCGGTAAGTTACATGTACACAAATGTGATTTGATGAAAAAATGTGTGTTTCAGAGAGGTAGCGGTATGAAGTCTAAAAGTCTCTGAAAGTCTAATCAAGAACATTGTCGCAATACGAGAGATAGCAAAGAAATACGAAGAAAATGAAAAAAAAGGTCGTGCAAGCGGTTGGCTGAGGCGTCTGCCGCGCTCTGCCGCGGTCGGCCTGCTCCAGTTCGAATTCAAATTCGACCACCGACCGACTATGGGATGAGGGCGACTATAACATCATGTATTGGCAACATTAGTGACACTCGTACAGGGCCTGCATGATCGCGAGAGTCGAACGTGCGTACGGCCATTGCGCCGCGCACGTCCGATGTCACCAAAGCAGGTGCCAAACATCTCCGGTTCAACAGGTTCGTCCGGTTCATAAGTCAAATCACTACACTGTCCAACAGCATTGGTGGTGAACCGAATGAACCTGTTGAACAGAGTAAATTTGGCACTTACCTGAGGCGTCGGACGTGCGGACGTGCGCGGCGCAATGGCCGTACGCACGTCCGACTCTCGCGATCATGCAGGACCCTATAACACCGATTATGTACGCCGAATTTTGAGCAATATGTTCAAAGTCATAGACCAGACAGTTCAGATCGACCATGCTCCACCCGACCACCTTATCAAGACTGGCGTCCTTTTCTTGACTCTATAAGTGACTCAAAAAAGTTCAATGCTAAAGCCTTAACAATGACGTGGCATCACACAAGTTGATCAAAGTCAGGGTATAAGCACCGCTCAATAGACAGTTGCTGGCTGTCTCTCTCCAAGTCTAAGCGCAAGTTTTCTACGAATCTTTGAACAAGTGCTTCAGAATAGGACAGACTCACTACCGGTAGACATTTCTTCTTTCCTGTTATTTAGGTTCTGATGGCACATAATGGCGCTCGAAGGCGTAGACACTCGCGATTTTGCATTCCGTCCAAATGTTCATTTTCCTCCAAGTAACGTCAGTGGTCCCAAGCACATGTGGTTGCTCAATCTGATTTCAACACAGTGCTGCCATACGTCCCCGCACACCTGACAAACACGAATGCTTTGCTTGGCCCCTTTGAAAAATGCTAGACATGGTAAAATTTACGTCATAAAATTTCCTGACATCGCTTTTCGCATAAATGTCTCAAGCTCCGACGCCTTGCAAGTGTTATAGTGAGAACTAGCAAAAATTTCCTGACTTCGCTTTTCTGTATAAATGTCTCAAACTCCAACGCCTTGCAAGTGTTATAGTGAGAACTAGCATATTCGCTTACGACTTGATGTATTACATTATTGCGCAAAAGAATGATGGAATAAAATGAAGAAGATGCCGCTTCCTCTAATTTGAGATAGTTTTTCGTAAAGTAATATTCATTATGAGTTATTTATGCTTTGTAATAAACGCCTTCACCAACTGTCTCCTTCACCGCCTCAAATGGATAGAAAATTGCGATCAGACCCCGAACCGAAAACAAACATGAGTCGGACGTTCCTAATGAAACCGCTTATGGAGCTGTGGAAATATATTATTGAAGTCATGGCCGAACTAATAAAAAAATGATCCAACGAGAACTACGTAACGAATGCATTCGCTGGCTCATCTGCTAGAATTCGCTCATGATCTGCAGCGCGGGTTCACTTATGTTAGGCGTATTGCTACAACGCTCTAAGAACATCATTAAGAAAGACAGAATAGCAATGGATAACGATAAAGCCAGTGCGACTTTATCACATCTCTCTCGATCAGACATATGCCCGTCTTGCAAACACAATGCACTTAAGAAAATAAAATTATGCACCTGAAAACGACAAAGGTCAATTTATTAAAGTTATTTGGATGCCATATAGTCGGTATAAATGCCGGTATAAATGCATAAGGATAAAATACCTTCGTAAACACTACCATCGGGCTTTGTCGCTGGAGTCAACTGCAGCGTGACTGTAAGCTATAACAGTGAGAGATTCAAATGCTTAAGTTTGTAAGCGCATTAGAAGATGACATTTTGGAGACTACGAATTTCGGATACAACTAAGGTTAACTTGCTGGAGGAGTCAACGATTAATCTAATTTGCAGCTTCATATAGAGATGATTTCAAAGCAAAGGCACCACTGGTGGGTGCGATTTGGAGAAATGAGAATTTGCCAGCCAACGCGATACAGCGAGGTGAAAATCGGAAATCATCCGCTAGTTCAAAACAACAACGATCTTTCTATTCGAAATGCGAGGCGATAACCAGACTCTAGCCATATGCACCAAGCCTTTCTGATGTATTAGGTTGTTGCAAAAATAATGTCCGTTTTTCTAGGCGTATATTCCAAACGACTTTTCTCCTTCAGGCTTTCTTTTTCGATACAGATTTTGCAGATCATTAGAAAGCTTTCTTCATGTACTTTCTAACGGTGGTAAAACTAAGCTTTTATCTCATCTGTGAGATTTTCACCAGCATTTTGAACAGCCGCACTCAAAATCGAAACTTCATTGCTCCAATTTTTTTGGCCATAATTCAGGCGCAAATAAACGAATTCTTCTGAAAACATAGCTACAGTATAGGATTGATATTGTTTACTTACTGCATGTTTGAATAAGTTTTTCGATTATACCTGAACTGACAAATCGAGCTTCAAAGAAGATACTCGCTGCCTGGAACTCCATGGGTTCGAAATTTTTCCTGATTAGGGCAATCGCTGAAACTTCGCTCATTTCTGTAGGTTTAAGATAAGGACATCTTATCTGCAATTTATGCAGAAAAACTTAGCTATTCAGTGCATGAAAAATTCCAAGTTTTCATAGTTTGGGACTTCCAACCTATCACAAATAGGCTTAAAAAAGTGAACAATTTTGGATTTCTATCTTTTTTAATTCGCAGAACTTCTTCGCTAAAGTTCTTTCTATATATAATTATACTACTGGGTTGCCTCTACAAAATAAGCTGACTAGCAGCCATAACAACAAAACTTGAATGAATTTGTAATCTTTCAAAACGAGGTTTTCAAAAGCAAAACTTTTGGTTTTTTGACGCATGGTTTTCTTTCCGTTTGCGATATCAGTAAATGCAGGTGCGCCTTAGATTACGAAAGATTTGTTGCTTCTGATGGTCTTGACCGCATTCAAAAATATGAAGACTGAACGAAGTTATAGCTTTTCAAAGTGAAATTTTGCAAAACGGAATTATTTTTGCAACAACCTAATACTATCGCAGCTCACCGATTCCCGGCGGCCTCTCTCCGGCTAAAATGTTCAGCGGACATAGAATGCTGACAACCATGAATATGCCGCACCTGACTAACGAGATGGAAAGATGGAGGAACTGTTTGATCGTCATCATGGAGCCAGCGTCAACTTTGGCTCTAGGACAACTCGTCTATGTGAAGGATCTCGAACTCTCAATAAACGGCCTGTACTCCTGTAACGATAATTTGCGAGCAATTCGGCAACATCACACACTCAGCGGAAACTGACTCAAAATCTGGATTTGGCATCTGGTTCGAAAACCTCAAGAGGTGTGGAATCAATGGCTCTAGCCAGAAATGATGACTATGCGAACTTTTCAATACCAACGTCACCCTCGCAAGCACACCTCAGTGAAAAACGAACTGTAGCTTACTTCCCGCCCCATAACGCCCTACCTGAAGCCGACTTCCTTCGAGTCACCTCATTTTGAACCATTATACTATTGCTATGCTATATACCCTTATACTTGAAAGGATAGGTTTTAGTTCCGCACAAAAAAGCGGTATTAGAGAGAATACAGAAGATGCTGCCCCTTCGATTTGATAATTCTAATTTTTCTTCAATCAAATGTAAGTGGATCTCTTTCGCTTAGTAACATTTAAAGTATGTTCATCAACTGTGCCCTCACCACCTTCAATGATTTCAACAATTATATGATTTGTTTCATTGTCTCTCGTTACTTTGCAGCAACAACTTTATTTGCGTAGCTGTTGACATTATTATCTTAGGCATGCGATAGTCGATTCACTGCTTCTTCTTAATCTTTGGGTAGTCGTCTATACGTAACAGGAACATGTATAAGTTTATAATAAGGACACGAACAGTTTTGTCGGTGTTTGTCAAGATGAAGATAGCTGAAAAGAAGTGTACTGTACTGCTGTGGTTGTCAATATGTCGCGCATTTTCAAAGCGATATGTTCTTTCTAGATTGAAAAGGTTGTGGGGCAGTAAGAATCAGGATTAAGCTCCCAGCTTTTTTTCCAAATTTTTTAAATACCAGCAAAGCTTAAATACAGAATTTGAAAAATATTTCACCTCGCAACGCATGGCTGGCACAGGCTGTCGTTCATGTTGGCTGTCCGCCATTTTTATCTGTTTGTTGGTCTAATGTTCTGGAAAAAATTTGATAACCAGTGGCTTATTGGAAAGTGGAAAATAAAAACAAAACTGTCTCTGGTCCTTTCATATGATGCGAGAGAAGTACTGCCCCGCTAAATCAAAAAATCCAGCGTATTTGATGACTTGTTGATGTTTTCAGCTGAAATCATAAAATAAGAAGACACTCTAGCACTAGCGAAATTTAGCTTACATACTTGTAATGTTGCTCGACTGCGGATCACTCAGGCACAGACCAGCCTACTCGGCTTTGTTTCAAAAAGAGATCGGAAAAACTTCTTATAATCGACTTTTAAGTGTTTAGCGAAGGCAAGCCTACAAACAGTGTTAGAAATGCCTTCTCAAGCGCTCAAAGAAGCTGAAGATTCGGGGCAGAAGAGCAGCTAACAAAAGAAGGAGGCTTGGTGACCGTGGCTTTTTTCAGTGAGATGCATACCAGTAATTTGCCTTAAAAGCTGATTCCAAATCTGTTTTCAATATCTGCTGTGCGACTCTGTGAATGAAATTATGGCCTTTTTTCTAAATTAATTTCACGAGATCTAGGCAGTCAAAATCGTTAGTATGCAGGTTTTGTAGGCACTCTACATCGGAGACAGTTTTCCTGAGCTTAACGTAAATCTTTATTTGATTTGGACGCTCATTTGTAGCGTGTACGTGAACCTTCTATGATATTGGTAATCCTGCCATCAAAAAGTGCAAATTTCGGTGGCAAGAAATGTTCATATCTTTTTCCGAAGGACCGCACAGCAGATACTGAAAGTAGATTGAAACGCTTTAAGACGCGTGAAATGGTATTGGTATATGTTTCATTTCAAAAAGCCACGGTCACCAAGTATCCTTCCCTTGTAAGCCGCAACAGCTTGCGATAAAAAAACGTAACGCCGAAACTTAGCACAATCAAGCAGACTGAAAGTCTTATGCAATCAAAGGCAGATGTCCACTTATTGTATTGAAAACTTGTTTTGATACCATAACTATTCAAAATTAACAAAGTGATTTGTGTGTAAGCCTTTGAGCGGCAACGGACAGTCGACCCTTTGCATTAACGTGATCTGTGGTCTATTGTACAAATCATTGCACAGGATACCTCATAAGAGATTATAAGCTGTGTACCTTACTTTGGCGCGATAAATTATTCATTAGCTGCTTATATGCTCATTATGGTCACCGCTTTGCTATTTAGCAAAATCAGCAAATAGTTCAATGAAAACGTGAATAAATTCACAAACTTTTATGTCAATGTTTGCATACAATAATCGTCACAATGCAATTCACAATCAAAAACGTCACCAGAAGAATAGCATCGACGCGATCAAATAGTTTCAGCCACGCCAGCTCTCTACGGCGATCTACTTCTTCCTCATCAAGGTAATCGAGAAGAGCATGTAGTGACGCCATGAATTCTGCCCATGGAGCGCTAAACTTTTTATGGTTATTGAAAATCAAAGGTAATCTCATTCTAATTTGGAGCGCTGTGTGAAAATACTAATCACATTCACTTGATAGAAACAACATGCCATTGCATGAATAACATATAGGAATGTTTAAGAACAAGGTAGCATTGGAAAGACTTTCCATGTTAGGTATGACTTTTCAGAGCAAACCATGTTTTTCTAAATATAATCCTCCACCATCTTTCCTTTCCAAGCGCTTCTTGACTACTATCGCATAAGTGCTGTTTGGTAAATATTACCAGAGGATATTGTCAAACTCAACTAGTCTGGGCAAATTCTCATCAGCTAAGTATAGGCACGCTCGAGGTGGATCTTGTTTCTGGGAAAAAAGCAGAGGTGAGTAGGTACGTCAAATTACTGAAGAAAAGTATCTTCTTGTAATTTGAGTAGGCCTTGGAGATAATTTCTTCAGAGCTGAACAAAAGTCCAAGCCCGTCAATCAAACAACATTTTCCATCCCCCTCCCCCCGACCTTCAACGAAACGTTCCCATCTATGTTCCCGCGTCCATCACTGCCGCACTATTCCCGCTGCAAAGCAACAATTTTGGAGTTGGGAGGGCAAGCGTTAGGCGACAAAACGTGCAAAACGCAAGCAACGTAAATCGTGTAACTCAAAACTATGCACCATTATTGGCGTCGGGTAATGTGTCGGCCCCGACCCCACCCCCCTGTTTTTGGTGGAGGAGACGTTTTGCACGGGGAGTTCTTTGTGGTCCAAGAAATTAGGTTTGTCGTCTAACGCCCTACACCCTTGAAGTTGCAGTGTACCATTCCGTGTAGCGAAATTTAGAAGAGCCCCAAAGTGAACACATGGCTTGTTTACTGAGCGGGTAGATATGATGAAATCAAACTTGACGTGTTGGAGCATATACGAAGAATTATGAACTTATGTGAATTACAGAAGTTGCCAACTTCTTCAATAGGCTTCGAGCCTGTTCAAAGGAGAACAAAGTCGTTATTTCGCGCTTTCCTTGCTTTCATCTTTTCAGATAACCCGCAACCATATCCTAAATAATATGAATTAAATTTTTACCGGTCTCCTTCTTTCGCATAGTAACAACCACTTAAAAATGTGTATGGTGGCAGAATCTTGCTCCAAGCGCAGGTTAGCTCGCCGAACACAGCATGCGCCAATTCACAGAATAGGAATAATCAGCTCCGCCAATCGCATTCGTAGCGTTCTTGTTCTGTTTCGTCTTGCCTTTCGATCTAATCTGTTTTTTTTTCTTCGGGTACCATATAGGGACCGCTGTACATTTTTTGCGAACTGAAGTTGAAAAACGTTCTCAAAAGTTTTCAAAGCCACCTTTATGCTGCCGATTCGTAAAAAAAGCAGCATCATCAGTTCTATTCATCGCATGTGTAGTGCTCTTTTTCTGTTCCGTTTGTCCTATGGTCTAAGCCATTTTTACCTTCGAAAGCCATGTAGGGGCGGTTGTACTTTTCTTGCGAAAAGTTGAATGAACCTCACTTACAAAAGCTTTCAGTCACTTCGCGTCGAGCTCTGTGCTCAATCAGTGATGTAGTAACATGTACAATACATGTAGAACATGCATTGCGGTAACGCAAGTAAAGTTAATTTTACACACTGACCTCTGCCTAAGTAACGGTAACGCTGATGTATTCTTCTTCCGTTTCTCCAACTTGAAATACGAGATTTTCACGAATTTCGCGGAGCCCTGGAATGAGTCATAAGTAGTAACAACTACTACTTGTAAAGCTGCACAATTATGCCCTTTCAAAATATATGGTATTGAGAGAACAAACAAGAATTGTGGGTAAGCAAAAGCAAATACATTATAAAGCTTCTGTCAAGTGCAAGGCAGACCGAGGTTTTTTGAGACCTTCGTGACATTTTTATTAAGGTAAAAGTGCTTCAAAAATGGAATTTTTCCTCAACTGGATAGAACTTTTTTGCTTAACATGAATGCTTTCACTATAAAGGGTCGTAGCTGTAGAGAGGTCTATAAAGGGTCACAGCTGTAGAGAGGTATAAGCTATTCATCGAACGCAGAGACTAGAGGCCGTTGTTTACGATCAAGATTGTTCTGTTTGAATGCGACAGTAGAAGGTAAAAGGAATGAGAGTGCGTTTGATATGACAAGGGAAGGATACTCCGTCGAAGTAGAGTTTCCATGTGAGTTGTATACTATCTTATAGAGCATGGAACGCTGATTCCAAATCTGCCTTTATTATGTGCAAAACGCTTTCGCGAGGGGTGTTATATTTTTTAAGCAGAAATATGAACGCACGGCTATAACCAAATTATTTAAACTGAAGTGAGCTCAGATAGAGCCCATGTTTACTGCCAGAGCGCTTTACGCAAATCATATCTTTAGCCTGATAAACCTATGCTGATCATTACGTTTCAAGAGCCAGAAAGATTTCAACATGTGTTTTAACTCAGCCAAGCCCTTAAATTTTTTCCTCAAAAACTTTCGCATAACTCCCCTCTCATAAGTGCTTTGCAGATAAAGAAAGAGATTCGGAATCAGCGTTTTTTGCTTTATGGGAGAGATTACAGTTTACATGGAAATCCCTCTTCGACCAAGTATCCTTCCTTTGTGAAAGACGCCGATAGTGTCCGCCATGGCGTCCCATCTCCGCGGACGATGTATCGTTTGTAGGTGGATTGAGGATTTCATTTCAGTGATAACGCTATTCAAAACCTCAAGAACATTTCATTTGTGAGAATGGGGTTGGGGAATGGGGGCCTTTCTTATCCTTTTTGAATGATTTTTAATCAGCTGTCGTTGAAGCTGCGTTCAGAGTTACCTGCACCGGCGTTGTTCCAGCGCGGTGCTGACTGCCGTCTGTAGATCAGAGTGAAATTTGCACTCTAGACGATGCTTTAAAAAGCTTCTATCAGCTTTTCTATGTAAATGATTGTGTGAAATTTGATGCCACTCTGTTGCGACGGCCCTTCCGCAAAAGCGTCACAAATATTTTGAAAAGTTCGCGTAATAAATTGACTTACAGTAGCTCCTAAAATCTTCAGTATCCAAGGTTTCGGTTTCCATCTGCGAGTATTGGCTCGGTGGTGCAGAGTGAGCGTTATCACTGAGCACACAACTCCCGCTGCTACGACGAAAATCTCAGCCAGGATGAAATTGCCTGAAGACTGTTCATTTGTTCATTCCTGGAGACATTGTATCGAACTGATATATGAAATTATGATATTATTCTATATTCTCACAGAAACAATAAACTTCTACTTGCAATTTCGTTTTATCTTACTGGGAAGGCTACCTAACTTAGCTCGGTCTTTTGATAAAAGGCAGACATATTCTAAATCATCTTCAAACGCTGATTCCAAATATGCTATTCCTAGCTGCCATTCCGAAGCGAGTTAAGGGCTTTTTCCTACGCAAAATTGGCATGCTCAACGACTCACAGACGTCACGTCATCATCATTTGAGTGCTGATACACCTGCGTTAAAGTTTTTTTAGTGAGAAAAGATTGGATTTATACTATTTCGACCTCAGCACATTTTTCTTGCAGATTTTTATCTACAGGCAGTCTTCTCATGTTTAGCAGTATGCCAATTTTGCGTAGGAAAAAGCCCCACTCGCTTTGCAATGGTGCGTGACAGCTAGAAATAGCATATTTGGAATCAGCGTTTGAAGCTGGTTCAGACTATATATGTCCCTTGCCAAAAGGCCGAGCTAGTTAGGTAGCTTCCCTTGTTAGAAACAGCGTCCCGACAGAACCTCGATGTGAATTTCCGGCATACTTTCCCTAATTTCACGAGTACAAGATGCGAACAAAGGACCCTATACCTTGCCGCGTATTGCCTGAGGGTATCGTGCGGGAATAAGATTCGTCTTCCGAAACACAATGACGCGTTGAGAGGCTCGCTTAAAAAATCGAAAAAGGTGCGGTTGTACTCGAGAAGATAGGGTAGCATGCGTCCCGCTATCTTCAAAAATGACGTCTGGAGAGTGCAAAGATGTCGAAAATGGGCTTGTTGAAAACAGTGGTCCCGTGTAGCAAGGTCTGCCAGGCTTAAAGGCGCGGAGTGGGTGTAGAACCCTATGGTCACAATTGTGTGCGAGTGTGTGCACTCATTTTGGAAAACTGATGAAAAAACTGATTCTACCTGCAGCATTGACATTATTTTGTGTCAGTTCAACAAATAAAATACACATTATTTCAGCAGTAAATCCTGCTCATTATGAGAAAGATAAAAGTTAGGTTACATTCTGCTAGAAGATAAAGCAATTTACCTAGAAGTGGTAATGCTGAAGCTTTTGGCATTGAGTTGGCTACAATTTCGAGAATGACAGCTGAGGACAGCAATGTGGTCAATCCAAGGTTGACCTGAGACATTTTATTAGTGATTGACTTGTTGTGGGATTGCATAGCTTTGATAGATATGACCAAAAACTGGTAAATTTACCTTTTCTTCTCGATCACCCAATGTATTCGTCGGAATAAATAGACCACATACTGACACAGTTGTGATGACAAACGTAGGTATGAGAAGCACCCATAGATAGAATTGAGGCCGTCTTTGTACGTAGAGCTAAAAATTTTGTATTCCTAAATAAATTAATAAGGACGTTTACTAGAGTGCTCTATTATCGAGCTTTCCGGACCCAAACTATCCGCAAGGTCTTACCCCATATAAGATTCGCCTGTGCTAGTTGAACCTCAAGAGTCTTTTCTACAGAAGGGTAAAAGCAGACTTGATTGTAGCCTACAAGATTCTGAGAGGCAAACTTCGCCTGAATCCCTCAAGCCATTGGACGTTTCGTCCCATATTTCAATTCAAGCTGAGGAGCGCAAATCGTCTAAGGTGTACGAGTTCCTGCTTTTTAGAGTCGCCAAATGCTATAACGTCTACTTACCGCTTTTTATGCCTTTAAAATTCAGCGCACTTCAAAAAAAACCCTCCGCAATTGGATATTTTAAAGTGCTAGACAACGTGATGGAATAAATTCTTCGTTGTTGTTCTTTTCATTCATCCTTGATTGGCTCCTGTTTTCTTGTTGACTCGTATATTGCCTGCTCTGCAGTAACCTGGATATCCTTTCATATATTTTCTATGTCTTTCCAGAGCTTCACAGTTCCGGATGCAGTTTTGGTCAGCTAAATCTTCTCACTTTTCATTACCTTTCCAAGTAGGTTCTTGAAAAGCTTCCTGTTCAGATCTTTTGTTTCCTTCGCCTTACACTGGTGGTAATATTAGTACACTTTGGCTTTTGGACTTTTGGTTGTTTTGTTTTTTCTGCCACTCCGATCAGCCATGGCGGCTTCGTGGGGAGGAACGGGGGTTTTGGTTAGGGGTGGTACTATCAATACACCCGTTTGGCTTGTCTGGCGGGGGCTGCCAGTGCCGGTCGCCGGGCTTCCGGCCTGTCCGACTTGATGTGTCTGTTCGGGCTGACGGGCAAAGGAGGAACGATATTGTCAATCAACGTTGTTTTATGTCTCCCTTCTTCTCCATTAAATGCAAAGCAAAGTAGATTGGACTACATCTGGATGATTGATTCATTGCAGTATGATTGTTCAATTTCGTTGTTTTTTCTTTTTCTATTTGTTGTCTTTTTCTATTAGTTGTCTTTTTCCATTTATACACCTTGCCCTGACCTGGTTTTGTAGTATTGAAGAGCATGTCTTCTCTTGGCGTAATGCAAGCGACACTGCTTTGATAAGCCCTGTATCTTCATGAAGAAGTTGGAGGTCCCTAGAAATTTTTGGACAGATACGAATTTTTTGATTTTTCGGTCATTTGAAAGTTTTCAAATTCCATTTTCGAAATACACGGAGATACAACTTGGGGCTAAACAGTAATGTCATGTAGAGCTTGCTTTGTTGTATCAAATGGCCCATAGCGACTGGCTGCAGGAGACTTAGCTCCACCCAATTTGGCGGTAGTTGGTTTATCGGTCCAGGCAGTCAATTGCGATGTTGGCGGGAATAAATCGCCCATCCTCTCCAGCTACCTTCAAGGTAGAAGAACGCCGTAAAAAGCACTTTTTGACTTTTCAAACAGAGCACTGGACTCAGCGCATCCAGAAGGCCATGTAGGTGTGGAAAGTTCGCAGTCGCAAGTTTCCCGAGGCACTGCCTTTATTTGCACTATGCGTAATGTTGCTCAGCATGTCGAATGAAGATAAACTGAGAGAGCGGAAATCATGTTCTCAGTTGTTCTTTCGGCGCAGGCTATAAATCGAATACAAGACCTCAAATTTTCTGCATCACAGTTCTGCAACATAGAGTAAAACAAAAGATTTACGAGACAGCAAAGCTGCCGCCTATCAGCCGAACCTGCCGCGCGGCAGAGAAAGGCTGGTCTTTTTCGGAATGGGTCTACTTCGACTGGCTACAACTCTTTGCAAGAGGGCGGCCCTAAGAAGTCCTCTACCGTACGCGCAAGCCAGTAGCATATGAACACAGGAAGTTATTCTGCAAAACAAGAAATTTGCAGGACCAATTTATTTCTTTTCTATTGCGTGATTCAGCTACAAGCAGTTCGTGACAACCCTGTCTCCCTCATAGAAAGGAATTTACTGCTTTCTTCGAAGAATTCTATAGGTCAGACAATGACTTTACAAATGGTTTCAAGGCCTCTCAAGACAACTCGCCGGACTCCGAGGAAGACGACGTAGGTTCTGCAACGCAGTAAAAGCGCGCGCGATCACCTGCGCAGCCCTCCGGCAGGTGGCACAAATGTGGCCCAATCCAGACAACGCATCTTCACATCTCCATGGGTTGCAACAACCTCCGTCTGGAACCGGCATATTGTATACTGCTTCTGCACCAATATTTCAGGACTATGTTTCTACCATTCAGCCTGTACTCGCTAATCAATAATTTTGTGGAGCTCGTCACTATATTACTCTAAATATGCAGAGAGAGAGGAGAAGCGCTTGGATCCTGCACATATCTTCGGTTAAGGAAGAAGCAGCTTTTCTGCGTTGTTTTGCGATGGTAGCGATGAGAAAGAGAGACCTTATTCAGTCATGGAGACGAAAGCTGCTTGCGTACTGAAAGTCTCTGCACATATGTATTCAACTGATCATTGCTTATGTTCTATCTCATTGGTATATACGATGTAGAGCGCAAATGTCCTCTTCGAACACCAACGCGAGGAGCGGGATAAAAACGATGAGTCCTGAAGCGATGCTGGCTATCTTCCCCTCGCTGGATACGTATTCGAGTCATGCAAAGTTTTCAAAATGTCACATGTTTCACGATATGTTTCAGATGGACGCAGTACTTATTGGTGGAGTAGGATATAAACTTGTTTATGAACTTCGCATTGACAAAGGAAGCATCACATTGCAATAACTGTTCCAGATACAAATAACCGTCGTCTTCCTGTAATTGTACACATCCAAGATATTCACATTTTTCGAGCTGTGGTAAGTGTCACTCCTTTGAATTTTTAGCTGATTAACTTGCCCCAGCTCTGCCAATGCTCACGTGAGAGCTATCTGATAACGATCTGGCTCAAGGACTTGGTCGCCAACTCCTCCGACCAGAATGAACCTAATCAATCGAATTTCACACTGCAGCTGCAAACACCTCGAAGCTGTTCATCGGTTTCAGATGTGACACTGTTTGTTCTTTGAAGTTTGGTAAGCACGGGAGTAATCTGAAGTCTCACTTGGAGTGCTGTTTTGGTAGCAAATTGAGATATGCAAGTGAGTCGCTTTTATAAGCCTTTGCTATCATTTCCGCTCTTGGCTCTTTGCAGCTGTGACGGCATAGCCGGTCACTATAGTGTTTTCGTGTTATTGACAACATTTGTTCGTTAACATTGACATACGTATTTTAGAGCCACTATTTACGCATGAGCAGCAAATAGAATGACGGCATCCAAGTAGATGTTATAACACATTTTTTACGCAAATATTGTCGTCTGAAGTTACTATGATAAATTTGCTGTGCTGTTTCAAGTCTTTAGTGAAGCATTGATCTCCTTACTATCATATCATCATTTAGGGGGTAGGGATTACATGTCGCCGATAGGCTTTACCGTGCAGACAGCTGGTACACTGTATGCATGTGAAGTATGGGGCTGGCTCTTTGTTGCAGATGTCCGCATCGGACCATTTCGGCAACATGTAGTTTTCTACCCTTATTTAAGTCTTAAAAACAGTTTCGCGCAATTATTTCATATCCGATTGTCACGTATATTGTTGTATCATAAAAAGTTGAGCAAGTGAAACTGTGAATAGGGAATTATCAAATTCTAACTTTATCAAACAATTTCTGCGGCTATGTTCCTTAGTTAATCAAATACGTTACAGGTCTGCACGAATTGAAACGAACAAAGAAAGATCTCATCTGCAGTGCCATTCTTGGTGAGAGATATGCAAGATTTTTGGCCTCTCAAAAGAGCAAAAACGACGGTAGTAGCAAGGCTTGCATCTTATATGACACCAACGCCACTAATGATGGTAATAATGATGGTAACAACGCCAAGCAAACTACTGAAATTGACTTTGGAGTAAGTGTGGAAGATATTCGCAAACTCTACATGAGCGGGATGTCAATGTTGATACCGTCCAAAAATTACTGTGTGACCTGCAGTACAGCCATCTAGGGCAAAGATGAATGGCTCTAGTACAATAATACACTCCAAACAGTAGAACCAGCCATCCAATAGATCGCTTGTGGTATTCTAATCACTTGTGAACCCAGCACCTCACAAGGGAAGTTCGCTTAGTCGAAGTGGCGATTCAGAAGATGATCTATACCAGTGAAAAGAGCTTAAAACGCTGATCTCAAGTATGCCTTCTACATCTGCGATGCGTTGTTCTGAAAAAGTTATGAGCTTTTCTAATACCAAATTTTCGCGCATTTTGAGTAGCAAAATCATGATAATTTCTACACAAAAATACGCAAGCTTAAGCAACCAACTTAGAAAGCATTGTAGATCTAATTTGAGTTCATTCGAACGTTTCAAGAGTTTTACGACCATGTTTTTTATCCACAAGTCGTCATTTCCTTTCTAGATCACACTTCCATTATATATAGAAAAAAGCCATAACTCTATCTAGAAAAACGCGTCGCAGATAGTGAAGATATATTTGAGAACAGCATTACGTTTATCCACTGGTATACGTCACCTTCCGAACATAGATGCGACAGGTGGAGAAATTTCTCTGACCCCCTATACTTTAGGGCCTGCATCTGACTGACTCCTTTCACCTGAGGTTGAGACTAGAATCCAGGCACAACGGCAGAATCAAACAGCTGTACAAAGGCACTTTTTGTTTGGAAAGGAAACGCTAGCTGCTCTTCTCCTCAGACACTAAACTGCAAGAGAGTATCAAAGTTACAGCGTTTTGTTGAAAAAACGCATGACTGACACCTTCTCAGTCGAAGTGGCCTTGACAACGAAACATAATCATCAAAAAAAAAGAATGTTTAACTCTTTGAATAAGTAACATTGTATCAATGAATGCACGCTGTCGCAAGAAAGAGTTGAGCAAGAGTAGAAAATCTGGATTAGCTAGTGATGGATGCATGTTTACCGACAAGAATCGTACCATATCTCCTTTCACTAGAGAGATTAATAACAAGTAAAAAAGCAGCTAGCTTACTCGTTTCTCAGGCTTTCGAATCATTTATAAAAGTTCGAAAAAGACCTTCTTGGTTTGAGAAGATAATTACTTAGAATTGGCTGATATTGTAGCTAGATAGAACTGCTCGTATCTCGCTTCAAAGAGATGGTAGGAAAAAAGAGACGGTCAACGTCGATTCCTTGTGTTCTTAGCTATCGAATGGTATATAAAGTGTTGGCGTACAAGGCTTTCTCAGTCCAAAAAACTCTTGCTCTGGCGACTCATACAAGCCAAGAGCGGGGTGGAGCAAGTTAGGATTGAATATCTTCGCCTCATTTTTGAAAAGCCACAAGTTTTTCACCCAACAACCTATATGTCATTACAAAGCCCGCGAGAAATGGATTCGACATAGACCGTCTCTTTTTCTCCAGCTCCCCTCTACCTAGAGATACATGACATTTTATCTGAAAACATGCAAGTTTTTGTCAAGAAATTCATGCGTGAAGAATGAATGAAAGTGCCTAGTTGTCTAACAGTATCACAGAGCAAGACCTTGCATGTATACGTAGGCCGTCTCTTTTTTTCTAGCTTTCCTCTTTCTTTCAAAGATGCAGTTCAAAGTGATTGCTAAAATCAGCTGATGCTAGAACCAGATATGATTTTTTATATCTGTATTCACAGGAGAGCTGGAAAAAAAGACGGTCTATGTCGATTATGTATGTTTCAAGCTTTCGAATGGTTTGTCGACTGATGAAACATAAAGCTTTTCTGAGTCAAAAAAGTCTCTGTTGGATGACCTTCCAAAGCCTAAGTATTGAGGAAATCTTTATATTACACCTGTCTACCTATTTTCCTTCTTTTCACTCCCGCTCCTACTAGACATGTAAGCTTGAGTTCATCTCAAGCCCAGTTACCCCCCTTCACTTTTCTAGGTCAGAAATAGCTAAAACCCCCTTCACCTGGAAGGGACCCTGCTCCCCCTATCGCAGCTATGCTTCCGAATCGCCACTTCGACCCAGCGAACTTCCCTTGTCAGAGGAGAAAGTACAGTCCACCCCACCTGTGATGCGATTTTGGACTACGTGAATGGTGACAGGGAAACCGAGTCCATTCGGGGGAGGAGGGGGCGGGCACGCGGAAGGCTACAATTTGCGCAAATTACAATATAAAACCCCTCTCGCTGACTTCTGCGGAATTTGCTTATAGAATCGAGTCATGTATCTGCTCTCACCCCCTAGTCCCCTGCAGTGCGACCTCAGCACCGAAGAGTTTTTGAGAGACACAGAAGTGTCGCCTTCTGCACAACAACTAATCCATTGCATGCCGATCATCTTGTATCTCGGTTGTGATAGACAGCCGTTATTAGTCGCTTCGGAAAACTATCACAACCGAAATGCAAGACGTTGGGCAGGTAATAGACTCGTAACAGGTTTCATGTCGGGATAATCGCGGATGAGATCGCGCGTGATTATGCTTGGTTTTCGATGCAGTTCTCAACAAGAGGCGGGTGGTTCGGTGGTGAGTCTAGACTCTTTTGTAAAACAATTTGACTATCGCTGTCTAACATCGGATTTGCACTTCGGGGTCGGGCGATTGTCATAGACTACTTTTCGTCATCGATCGATATCGTTTTTTATCGATTTCTTGCAAAGTTCAAGCTCGGGGCTGAAAGTTGGCACAGGGGGGGGGGAAGAGAGTAATCAAGCGTGCTGATTACGAATACAGTATCGATTTTTGAAATTATCCACCACTTTTATCGATTTCATCAATTTTTTGCAAAATTCCAGCTACGGGGCTGGGAGTTGGCACAAGGGGGTAATCGAGCATGCTGATTACGAATACAATATTAGTTTTCAAAATTATGCGCTACTTTTATCAATCTTATCGATTTTTTTGCTAGGTTCGAGCTACGGGCTGGGAATTGGCAATTGTGATAGATAGGTTATGCTGATTACTAACACAGAGGGAATAAGGAATTGGCGTGTAGAAGTGGGCACAGGAAAGGTTGAACAGAGATAGGGAGGGACCTTTATCATAAGTGTTTTGACACGGCCGGCCGCCGGGAAAACCAGCTAGTAAATAAATAAATTGTAAACTATTGTTATCTCAGATTAGATGAAAAACAGTGACTGGCACAAAGCTCTATAAAGACAGACTCAAAGTGAAAGAAGAAGTCAAAAAAGTGCATAAATTGAAGTCACCAACCTCAAAACGAACTTCTGAGAAGTGGAAGTCGACATCAGCATCAATCGAATAATCTACCGATGTTGCGAGCTTATCAAAATCCCATTCGCTATTACCCCAAAACAGTTGAACTTTAACAACAAATATTCTTCAAAAATTTTGTAAATTTCAACAGACGTCAAATTCGGGTGTATCCTTCTCGATGCTCTTTCCAGCGATACAGTGGACCTCTTCATCTCTGTACGTCCACGGACCAATGTCAATTATACAAATTTGTGAGTCGTACGGGAAATTCACGACCTGAATTCTGCAAATGAGTAAGCTCAAGACAACAAATTTATGACTAAAAGTGCGAGAACAAACATTATCAATATTTTCTCAAGTTGGATTTTTTTTTGTTACCACTTGCTATTTATTGACATAATTAGAAATTCAAAAAAAATATTCGGAAGTTTATTTCAAGTTTTCCGTATCAATTTTCTTTCGATGCACACACAAGGTCCCCACGAATTCTCGACTTTCTTGATATTTTTTCAACTCTCGTTTTTTGCTAGAGGCATCACGCTACCGCCATAGCTGAAATACTTCTCGAATTTCATAGAAAGCAAAAAGCATAATGAGAGAAAGAGAAAAGTCCAAAGAAAGAAATGAAATTGCCGTAAACTTGCTAATATGTGTGCGTTTGCGACACCCATCATGCCTTTGGATAAACTCTATAAGTTCACAATTCAGGAAAACTTTAGAATCTTTCGTAGTGAGCAGAAAATGTGAGGAAGAGATTATTCGTTTTCATAGTTTCGCTTTGGTTCGCTTGGTAATTGTCATTGCAGCCTTCAAAACTGAATATCTCATAATTTGTCAGGGTAAAGCGTAGTGAGAAAACTTTTTCTTAGGTACAAAAAATTCTAATTTATTGAATGAGTCTGGACTTTTAAATTACGGCAAAACTCACTTTCATGTTGCATAAGTTCGTATAAACGGAGTAGATGCTTTGCCTAACAGTGCCGTCCCAGAAAACCTCTACATACCGTTGATTCGCATCAAGGAGGGTTTCTTTCGCTATGCTGGAAATAAATATTCTAGGTGAATTGAGTTGTCGGTACCTCACCTTGTGGATACTGTAACATCCGGACGCCAAACTTGCTGCTCCTTGACTTTTATTCTTTTCTGACCATTGAACTCCGACGGATTCCAATTCAAAAAAGCGTCCTTCCAGGTGAGTAAAAACTCGGCTGAGAAGATTGCCGTCTCTTCAGCTTGGTCCTTTAAGCAAAAAAAAATGCAAATGAATCTATCTCAAAGAAAATTGGGAGAAATTTACCATACGTAAAAGTGTGAATTTATTGATGTCTATAGTCAGATTGATGGTGTCGCTCTCATGCAAAACTGGGCGATCGTTTGGGTTATAGCCATTGTTGAGCAGATGATGTGCAAGATTAGAAGTAGAAAATTTGGCAACAGTTGCTGTAAAGTTGTAGCGAAACTAATTTTAGAAATAAGAAACGCTGAAGGATTTTTTCGCAAAAAATTTCCAAAAGAAAGCGGCCTCATACAAGAAGTGTAATGGATTCAAAAATAAGCGGACTTGAATGTACGCACAAATTCAAAAATTAATTACTTACCTAACTGGCATAAAATTAGCACTGTCCAAAAATTCATGACGACACTACGCTAGCCTCAGTTGCCAAAAACGAAATATATACTCATTCAAATTTAATATGCATGTTCACAGGAGTATTTGCTAACGGAAGGGATGTACGGCCAGGGTGAAATCCAAAGATGAAATAGGAATCGTCGTTTACGTAGCTTTTTACATCTTATGCTATTAGGTTGCCCCGAAAGTAAACCCCTTTTTGAAATAAATCAAGCCGTTTTTGTCTTCCTAACAGACTTAGGGTACCTTCGAGATAGTAAAGCAAGCTCTACAGAATGACCATTAAGGATCCGCCCAATTAGTAATCCACTTAGAATTTAGAGCCAAAAATCCTATTTTTTCAGTTACCATGAAAATCCTTCCTAAAAAATTCCTACAAACCTCCAACTTGATCGTTATACAATAAACCATAGAGTATCCAAAAATGTATTCGGTTTTTTTGGGGCTCTTGAGATATAAATGGCCCGAGTAAAAATGTCACTTTTTCCAGGTTTCTTATGTTGACCTGGTACTTCTCGATTATCAAGGCAAACAGAAGTGAAATTCTATATACTTACTAAGGCTTGTAGTCTACAATGACATATGTGGGAGGGCTGGGGGCAGAGTTTACCATTTTTGGCTATCTTTTTTCTCGTTTTCCAAGCGCGGAAAAAAATCGATTAAGAACATGTCATATTTGTGACTACTATGTTCTACTGTAAAAACTACCAAGTTTGAGATCCGTGAAGTTTTTCTCGCAAAATAGTTTTTGGGTGATAAAATTCAGTTTGCTCCAAACGTTACCTGGATTGGATTTAGGCGGATCTTTGGTGGTCATTCTCTAGAGCTTGCTTCGCTCGACACCCTACCTAAGTCTGCTAAGGAGGGAAGGATACTTGGTGTTCGTGGCCTTTTGCAATGAGATGCATACCAGTAGGTGCGTCTTGGAACGCTGATTCTAAATCTATGTTCGCTATCTGCTGTGCGACTCCCTGAACGAAGATATGAGGTTTTTTCATATTGGTTTTGCGAGATTTAGGCAGTCAAATTTGTCAGTATCCAGGCTTTTTAGGCTCTGATGTATCGTTGACTTTTCTTGAGCTTAACGTAAAGCTTTACTTTATCTGTACGCCCTTTTATAGTGCGTAAGCGAATATTCTAACGATATTGGTGAATCCTGCATCATAGATACCGCATATTTTAGTGACAAAAATGTTCATAACTTCTTCCAGAGGACCGCACAGCAGATAATGAAAACAGATTTGAAATCAGCGCTTCAAGATGCATTTAATGGTTTCCGTTTCATTACAAAAGGCCACGGTCACCGAGTATCCTATCCTTGTAAGAAAAGAAAAACAGATTGATTTATATAAATAGGGATTTTACTTTTGGGACAACCCAATACATTACCTTCAATCACTAGTTTGATAAAATCTCAGAAGTGCTTCAAATAGTTGCGGCATTCCCATGGAGGAATGATTATATCCTACTATAATAACGCGCTAAGGGTGTTTACGTTTTTTTGTGTGTGTGTGTGTCTGAATGTCTGTCTGTCACGAAATTCATAGCGCAAGTTCCAGCAAACGTCCTGGGCCCAAATTTTGCACAGCACATGCTACCAGCACAAAACTCCACCATGCGAAAGCATGAGCGGATTCGTTGAGTGGAACTCACAGAAATTGCGAGTCAAACGGGTCCACTTCGCTTCTGACTCACAAAATTGGGTCCCTATCAGCACTTTTTGCGAAGTCATTGAGGTTTTTGACAAGTAAATATGCAAGCCTTGGACTTTAGCCAAAATAATGGGCAAAAATCTACTACTTTGCGAAAATGACGCCAAAATGGATTAGTTGCGTAAATGGTCAATTTGAAAACGTCCTACTGGCGCATTTGAGAAGATTTTTGCGCAGAAGTGTTGCTCACGGTGGCTATTGGCCTTATAGCAACTACCAAATCATAAAAAATCCAGGAACCCCCTCAAATTTGCATTTGTTCTTCGGCAAAAAGTTTCATCCTCGCGAAATCACCAATCTCACATGAAGAAGCCCTTAAAATGAATGGCTGTTTACATCCTATTCGTGGTAGTCGGCCACTGCGCGGTGAGTTTCAGTGCCACCATTATGGGAAAGTAATGAGGCATATGGATAGTAGAGCCAGTGCGAGCCTCTGCGAAGCAGAGGTGACGCACTGGTATAATAGATAAGGAGCTTGGAAGAATGTATTCTTTATTATCAATGGAAACACTTTTGTACGTAACCTTTTCACATGGAGGCGTGCTTGGTCGGAATCTGATCTCTCTCTCTCTTCTCTCTCTCTTTTTTCTCTCTCTCTGTACTGCGTTTTCTTTCTCAGTGATATCCTATCAGTTGTTAAATCTATAAGGTGTCTCAGATTGATGTGTGCCAAACGTTTGATCATTGATAAGTCTTGTATCGAAAGCTTTGGATTTAGATGCCCTACGGTTGGGCCAATATTTACAGTATAAAACAAGCCATCAACCTCTCTTTGCTGCTATAGGAGTACGGTGGAACGTTAAAGGCAGCGGCTCGGTAGATTTTCAGCTTCGGGGTTTTGGCAGATTTGGGGCTATTTTGACCCCCTGAATCACGACATGGACTCCCCTTAGCGCTAAAATGGGGAAAACCCCGTCTTTTGAAACCCCCTTGAGACGGGCGCGGACGAGTGAGCCATTTTTCTCTGCCGTCAGAGACGCAGAGTAAGGAGGTAGAGAGCGCTAGAACAATTCTGCCCTATGAGGCTACGAGTGACGGCGTGTTTTCTAGCGGCGAACATACTCGTCCGCACAAGATGTTAGGGGAGCGAAAGGAAGAAGGGAAGCGGAGCTTGGCTCCCCCTGGCTTGCAGAATTCACATTTTCGGCCCGGAGTTGCTCTTTTGGTTCCTTGGAGGGCCCCCTATCCATCTATGTCAAATTCTGAGGTTCTATTCTGCCGAGCAGCTGCCTTTAAAGGCAGTGGACAGGCAAAATGGACCCCTGTCAGATTTTGGTAGTTTCGGGTAGTGGACCCTCCAAGTACACCGTAGCCCCAACCCCGACTTCCAATTCATGCGCTAAGTCCTGAAAAAAGCGCTTCAAACTTCCACCAATAACGATCACTCAATGGAAGTGGGCGGGGCTGGTGGGTTTTGAAGCGCTTTTTTCAGGACTTAGCGCATGAATTGGAAGTCGGGGTTGGGGCTACGGTGTACTTGAAGGATCCACTACCCGAAACTACCAAAATCTGACAGAGGTCCATTTTGCCTGTCCACTGCCTTTAAGGATTTTGAGCCATTGAGGGTAATACTTTGCCTCATAGAGGGAATCAGACCTGAAATGTCTTACACTAGGATTATTAGAGTTGCTGATTGTGAATATAAAGTTTGTCTCTTACCGCAATGCTTTTGTCAGAAAGTGATGTCAAGTACACATCGATCTTTCAATCTTCCTAAAAATCGCGATTACAGCGTTTTAAAAAGCTTCATAATTCTGTATAAAATCAAAGCTGGGAATCAGCGTGTTTAAAACCCTACACACAATTTTTCACATTTTATGGAAATAGTTTTGAAACGACCGCTTTTTTCACAACGGCGCTATATGTCGGAAGTTCCCATCGTAATCTTGAAGTAATGAAGGGCGGTCGTTGATTTGCTCTAAACTATTTACTAAAATCTAAGTCAAAGTTAAACCTACCTTATGGCATTTGAGGATCCGAGAATGTTCTCCATACAAGAGGCTTATCGAAGATCAAATGTTCGACACATTATTTTGGGACACACTGTATTTACTTTCTTGCATACTTTAAAAACGATTGCTCGTTGGAGTTTGTAGAATGCTGAGGAGTTTTGGCACTGAGTGTTTTTCACTTCCGAATTTCGCAAAAATGTATTCCGCCCTTATATTATGCCATCTTGAGGTTCGTCTCGTTGCTGTGATCGTCTTTTCGCCTGATCTATTTCAATCACATACTCTTTCATGCCAGCAAAAGATTTCGAAAAAATTAGAACACAAGGCAAAAACCAAACCGAAGCAATCGAACTAATTTGCTCAAACTTTTTGCGCATATTCCTTCCAAATCATCGACTCGCTTCCGCGCGTATATACCTCAATCCTCTAGCTGTATATGGGAATTATGGAATCTCAATTTAATACGGGTGAGTGAAATCACCTATGAAATCCTCATAGTCTTGGGGAACAAGTGACGCACTTTGTACTTCTCCAACTTCTTTTATGAAAATTATTTAGGCTGTCGAAGTTTTGAGTTCGAGAGACGTTAACACATGATCACTGGCAGAATAATGTGCAAAATCTTCAGTGCTGAGATTTCAAAACTCATTATTACTACAGATAACCATATAAAGTAAATGAACGGTTACCGCTGCAAAATACAAGCATCTTGAATTTTAGAGTACAACAAGGCGCATCCGTGAGATTGAGAAATACGACGACTTTTTTTTCGCAACTGCTTTTAACGCGAAGAGGAGATAGCTATTGAATGAAGAAAATAGCTTGCATGAGGCACCCGAAACCTTTGACATTTTATATTTTAGAACACTTGAACGAGCCGATCACATAATTTGGCACTCTAAAGATCAATTTTAGAGTACATTAGGCGTACAATGAGTACATTAGGCGACCCAAGGACCCCTCGGCCATGCTGCATATTACCTAAAAGAATCATGCAACAGAGCGAACGTTTGGTTTGGCGAAACAGCTAGCCGCTCGCATTAACTCAGACATGTCAGAATTAAAAGTCGCCCTGAGTTGCAAAAGGCTTGGCTTAGTATCAGACTATCAAAGCGCCTAGAAAAGTCTCAGATAAGTGTGAATATTGACGAACTAGACGTAGTATAAATAAAGCTGGTAACTTTCGACGACTATCCTCTTCGAAAAAGTCGGGCGGCAAAATAGCTGCTGGTAGAAGGAAGGAATTTTGATGAGGACTGCTTGAAGTATAATATTTGCTTAATCTACACGGAATTTGGGAGTTGATACAAGAAACGGAAAGCACTATTGCCCTTCCTAATA